TTCTTCGTAGAACAGAGAGGGGCAGAATTCAAAATGCAGGATATTCAGAAAAGTATTAACGAGGCTATAAAATGTTCGGATATGGCAAAAGAGAAGTAGAAGTATTAGTATGATTATAAAAGAAGGCAGATGAAATATAAGGTAAGAGATAAGATTCTCAAAGAAGAACATGTATTACCGTGTGCTCAACAAAGCAAAGTAGCTAGATTTGTGCCGAAATTCAAAGACTCGTTCATGATAGATAAACGGCGGTCAATCTCAGAGATGAAAATAGCCGACAAAATGTAGCAAATATGGATCAGGTCAAGCTCTATTTTGATCGTAAACCTAGGAGAATATTTAAAATTTTTTGCAGGAAACCAGTAGTGAAGCTACTTGTGCTGCAAAAACTTCAGAAATTTACGTCTAGAAAAAAAGAAGGGATACTTCAACTGGAGAGCAGCTTCAAATGAAAGCGAAGATGGCTGCAACCGGGGAGAGAAGGGAAGAAAGTCAAAATTAACCAGAGACAGCAATAAGAAATCAACGAAAGAGTAGAAAGTCCGGAAAGTTCGGCAAGAAATCAGCAAAGCGGCTCCCATGCAGAGATCCAAAAAGTCAAACGCTGGGGCCAAGGGCAATACGGGGGTATTATACATTTAATGGAATAGTTTTTGAATGTGGCCGCATGGTAGTGTTACAGTCTACTAGCAACTTAGAGGCCACTATTTACAATGGTCCTTTATCCCCAGTTCTTTGTAAAGGGAATTTACCATTACTGTGCAACCAGATATAGAGGCATATATCCCTTCGTCACGAAACTTCTCGGAAGCACTTACTGAGCTATAACTAACCTTCTCACACATTAGCAAACTTTAACGTCATAGAGATCAACTTTAATAAAGTAAGTACACTCTGGAGTGCACCAGAAGATAATATACGTGCTACCACTGTATTTCACTTTATCACATTAGCAATAATGAACAGCTGTGACAAATTCACGCTCAGACGGCTGACTAGACATTACCTTGTTCATAAACTGAATACCCCCTATTAAATAACATTAGGAAGTAAATGACATGCCTTCCTTAAGCGATCACAGCTTAGTATTCACATTAAAGATATTCCAAAAATATACTGCCAAAAATTGATTTTAAATATAGCACATCAGTTTGAATCAATTTCGAGATAACATTTACCCTCATGTACGTCACTTGTCATTACCTGTGACAACAGTGCGACTTTGAAATCATCTCTCAGTATGCAAGATCATTTTGAATGAAAAATGTATATTGCACCAAGCAGAAGCTCCTAGTATACAAGCATACTAGCCATCGATAGATGCAAAGTGAGAACTTTGAGAAGAGTAAAAAATGTCACGACCGTTAAGAGCGATAACCTCTTAAAATTTTTCTCAGAACCCAGAGAGCTGCCTACAAGACAGCCATCAGCAGAGCCAAACTGGAATCATAAAAACATTTTGTTAAGTGATAGCAGTAACAAATTCGGTGCTGATTTCGAAGTTACACACGATAAAGGTGAGTCTCTCTCCATGCTTTTAGTATTGATACCATCCTAGTTCAAACATCGCCAATGAACAACAAGCTACTAATATCATCGTGGAGCAGTATCAAAACACACATATCCAAGATATGAAATCATTGTCGACGGCCAAAAAACTAAGTGATTTTTTTAAAGGTTTCTTAACCCAAATAAGGTGCCGGAGCCGGATGGGGTAGAGAATAGTATTTTACGTGCAGTATTTATGTACGTATCTAGCCATCCTCATGTCATACGTCACAACTTACTGGAAGAATAGGCATTTCCTGGCAGCTACAAAGAAGACAGAGGTAGAATACGTTTTGAAAATTGGGGAAACTCTCAAAGAGACTGCATCTTATCATCCCATCTGCCTTTTCTCTGCCTTAGGAGAAGTGCTTGAAAGGGTTATTCTCCAAGGTCTCAATCATTTCAGTAAGTTAGGGGAATCGAAATATTCATCAGGATGGTTTCAGAGCCGGCTCAGTTGTTGATGATGACAAACTAAAAACCGTTTCTGTGAGTAATACGTCTGCTAACTTACATATTATTTCTATCGAGATTCAGGGTGCTTTTGGTTCGTTATGGCGACCTGATATACTATACAGACTTATGGACATGCATTGTCCAAAAGCCCTCTTTGATCTGGCTTTCAGCCATCTGAAAAATAGGCACATGCCAGCTACAACGGACGAAGGCATTTTTGCGACACCCATTAATAGAGGCTGCACTTTGGAATCCTGCCTTGGGCCTGTGCTGTAGAATATAGTGGCAGACTCATCTTTGGAACACTTCGCTGGAAATAACATTATGAACATACTTGCTTATGCTGATGATTTTCTGTGAGTGGTCAAAGAACGTTCGAGGAAAAAATATGAGACTATTCCACAATAGGCATTTAATCTTTTTACTAAGCGGGTAATAAATCAAAAGCATACCATTTCTGTGTCCAAGACACAAAGAATGCTTATCAGTCCACAATGAAGGTACACTTGCACTCCCTGTGTTGCCCTCGACAGAAAAAGCAATTAAAGACGAAGATACGTGAAACATATTTGGGTGTGATAACTGATGATCAGCTAATTTGGCATGATCATATACTGCGTATCAATCAAAGCCTTTGCAAACTCTCACACTCACTAAATAGAACCACGGCTACCAAATGGGGGACTATTTTAGCAGATACCTAGAATTTAGACTGAAGCAGAACGTGTAGCACTGCATAGAGCTTCTGTGTAGGGTTCACATATTACCCTCATAACAACTTAGTTCTACCCAATGTCTCCTTTTTCCTGAGCATCTTTCGGGGATCAATCAAATTTTTCCCCCCACTCCTGCAACTTAATCCAACTGTAGGAAACCTCACTCCGTATTAGGCGGGAAGAATATGTTAGAGCGCAATGGTCGTTATGACTAAGGTGGTTTTTGAATACACTTGGACACATGGCTTGTCTCACTCCTTATTGGGGGAGAAGAAGATCTGCTATTGCGTTAGGTCTGCGGCTTAAATGCCTTAAGACTATACACTTGGACAGAAAGCTATGCGGCTAAGTCTCTTTCAGAAACACGTCCGTACTACGATCCTTCCGACTAGAAGACCTGCCTGCGAGTATGTCTTTACTAACAAATCCTTTTATTTTGGGATTTCATTCATGATCCAGTTAACTTTACTTTTACTTAAATACTTAAATGCACAAAAATGGAACAAAAAATATTTAATATACAAAAATAGTGAAGAGGGGCATTCATTTTGCCAAGTCCTTACATGAATCTGACATTTTGGGAAAATTAATAAACTTTTACAAATTCTGCTCTTCTTCGGCTACCTTTTTCCATTAACAATTTGATTCCTTTGATCCCTGTTGCCAACGGCAGGCGTAATCTTGAGCTCCTTCCCCTGAGGAATTTCGTAGGCTTGAGCTGATATTGCTGTCAGACAAGTGAGTCTAGGTAACAACTATAAACATCTTTAGAAGTTCTGTTCGAATTTGATCTTCAATGTAAATTCTACATACCAGAACTAACATATGTGCAATAGCTTTGTAAAATCAATGCATTAATATAGGAATATAACAGTGTGATATAGTAATGCACAAATAATAGTTTCCTATTGCTGCCCCAGTATTTTAGTGTTGCAGAAGTGCAGTTTTTTTAACGTTGTTTATGACGGTTTTTGTAACGGTGTTTTGATGAATGTAGCACAATATTATTGCGTTTGTATATGTATAACAAACAACTGCGAGACAAATCCATTTTAAAATAATGCACATCAATATGCTTGTAACTGCATTGTAACGTTTTATTTTATATATATCTGTTTCGAACAATTGTGAAATTTCGAGAACCCGGTAAACGATAGATTCATTTTAATTCAGTAGAACAGCACATGGATAGTGTTCCCTTCTTGTCTCTTTCAGCTTAAGCTGAAGAATCAAAACAGAGTACTTTTAGCCGCATGGTTGACATCATGCCTTGCATCGTACTTTCGTTGCCCTTTCCAATAAATAAAGCTCCCGGAAGACATGTCTCCGACGGATGACTTGGAATCACTGGAAGGGCTTAAACAGGCAGATAAACACCATAAGTTCACCGGCTGCTCTTCGGCGTAAAGAAAAGTAAAAGCGCTTTAGATTGCAGTTAGGAGAAAATTAGAGAATATAGACAATAATGAGCTCGAAGTTAAGTACCAGCAACACTTACGCGGCTCTACAAAGTATTAAAATTGTTTAAACGGATCTTATTGGAATAAGTTGAAAACGTTCTCCAATAGTTATTACTATGTTAGAAAGTAATAAAACATGAATACGTAAAACAACTTATCTGAAACATCTCTAACAGGGGATCTTCAGTTCAAGAGTATTAAAATCAAAACTTTTGAGAGCCAGTATTATTATAATGCAATGAAAGCACTCTTTGGAGAAGAAATTTTAATTTACTAATTGCTGTTCTCTGACTTCATTTGTTCTGTGCTCCCACCCAGAAAACTGGTCACTTTCTGATTTATATGAATAATTGTCTTCAATGCTACATGTATCTGGACCTCAGAAAAAATACAATACTTAATTTATCGTGTGAAATTTGATTTTATGAGGCTAGATTTTTGTAAATAAATTCTTCTATAAAAAGCATTCTCCTTCTCTTAATACTGCGAATTCCTCTTTACTACAGTTTTGCCTTTTACGTATACTATCTATTTTCTTATTTATACTTTCTTATTTATACAAAAATTCTAATTTTACAAATATTAATGAAATGATGCTACAAGATCGCAATTGTCGCAATCTGAACTTTTTCTTTTCTTATATTATTTGATTTATTTGGCCTTTCTTTTTAACATTAAATTTACTAGTGATTCAAGAGGTATTTCGTAGTGCACTTTTTGACACACCCTTTGTATATTAAAAAAGTCTTAATTTTAATTGTTTTACTTCAACCTAAATAAAATGCTTGTGCAATAATTATATTTTCTCTTTTTTTTTCAGATATTCTTTTCGAGTTACATGTTTAATGCACTTTGGAGCTTATCCATTTGACATTCAGACTTGTTTATTCACTGTGACTTTCAGTAAGTAATCAATCCTCCTTTCATTCTAATTTAAAAGTATTAATGAAATTCATCCAAACATTGTTCCATTTATAATTTTAAATCGAAAATATGCAGTTCAAACTGCCCAACTGCACATTCGAAACTAGCTTTTTGTCGAACCTAATTTACACTCTCATCAAACTGATGATCAAAAGGATATATAATAGTGTTATTTAACTATAAAATAAATTTTGAAGGACTTCTATAAATTTCATCCCCCAAGACATTTGGCGATCAAAGAGTATGTCTCATTCTTTTAGGAAGCTTCTTTTATTCTTCGTTTTACAGAATTTCTGGAATTAAAAGTAAAAGTAAATAATAATTATAGGTGATATCCATGGCAATTTCTTTACCATTTTCAAAATAATTTTAGTCCTTTAAAAAAATTATAAACAAACACTAAATATATATAAATAAATTAAATTAAATTAAAACAATTTTGAATATATTTATCTAATTATATGGGTATGAGTTGATTATTTGGCATTCGACTTAGTGACGATCTAGTTAAAAAACAGTCGGTAGATATAACAACACAAATTTAATGAGTTAGTCAATATTACCCAGTTCAATGACCACGAGGCGTTAAATTATAAGATCTCTATTTTTGAAATTAATTGATAAAATATACAATACTTTATAATTAGAATACATTAAAAATGCAATTCCTTGAAAATACAATTGACTCCAAATGCAATGTTTTAAATGTATTATAAGATTATTTTCTCCATTCTTTCCGACCTTCGTGATGTAAGTTGAAGCATACTTTATGCTATTCGAGATGTCCAGGATTCAAGGCGAGGGCATTGCACATTTTTCACGTCTCTTGCTTCAAAAAAAAATCTAATGACTTCACAAGTGGTGATAGTCACCACCAGGATTTGGCGATGGGGTCCCTAATCCCCAGTCACCCTTTGAAATTTTCCTTTCCGCATGCCTTCGTGGTGTAAGTTAAAGCATAAGCGACAGGGATTCGACAGGTCCAGGTGCCGACGAGGGGCACTGCATATTTTTCACGTCTTCTGCTTCCCATCCCCCTAAAAAAAACAAAAAACTAATGAATATATATTATAATAAAGCAAATAATGATAAAGTAAGAGTAAAGAAAACTATAAAATGAAAATTTGGTGTAATGCACCATATCTTCCAGGTTGGGGGGGAAGGAGAGTATTAAGTAATCTTCTATATTTGGCATTTAAGTTCTTTATTCTTTCCTTACGCAACCCCCAATCACACTTCTGAAAAAAGATTAGATTTCTAAGTAAAACTGTTTTGAAACAGCGAACAGCAAGAGATTTTAGTTTTTAATAAGCTTCTTTCCTTCAATCAAAAATAAAAGCCTGAGGAGATCACACACAGGTGTACTCCAATGTCAGTCTATCGTCTTTCCTATGCAACGATTCAATTTTACCTTGTGTTCGAGGATTATCGCCTAATACATAACGTAAAAACTGTAGGATTAAAATATCTGCAATAAATAACACAATCAGCAATCTGGAAAGTACAGTAAACAACCAGACATGGGAGTAGAAAAGATCTGAGCAAGGAGGGGTGTGCAAACGACTTGAGACTGAGAAAACTAAATCAGATATGACAATTAGTGGCCGAGTGGAAAGCCTACTAGTCCGTTTCGAGATTTTAAATTCTTACAAACCGGCTGATTGTACGAATGTTTGCATGGTGTGTGTATGTATAGCATAAATATAATCCAGTTAATTATACAAAAGTCCTAGGCAAAGATACAACTCTCCTTACGCAGATAGCCTGACTCTCTTTGCTGTAAACTAATAAAGGAGTAAATAAATACTGCACTCGAATACATGAGGTGGAAGGCTGAAATTTGGAGAACAAAACGAAAATAATTCTGGGCTTGTTTAACTTAAATTTTAACTCGAACTGTAAAAAATTACCTTCTACCTGTGCTAAATATTTTTTTTTTGGCTTTTTTTTTTTTTTTTTTTTGCTAAACTCTTCGTGTGGCATCTCTAAGATAACCGCATGCTGCAGTAACAGAGAAGAAAATACTGATAAATTGTCGCTGGAAATGTGTTGCCCCATTGATGGTATTAAAGAATCTAGATAAGACATTGTTAAAGCTCTTTTATAAAATTCGTCAAATTCAAGATTTTTTTCCAAGGGCGGACATTAGCCATTATAGGCGTTGGCCACTACTAAGGCCGGAAGAGATGGTCACTTTATTATGGAGCCTCCTAATAAATGGAACTTCATTGCGTTCTATGAGGGGACAGATAATTTACACCCGTACTTTCTCCTGGATTCGAACCCGGGCCCTTTCGGTGGGGCATTCAGAGTCACTAAACACTTTCCAGTCTAGGCGGCTCAATTTTAGATAATGAACAATTTAATAGATGTTGCCGTCTTACACTGACTGACTGATAACTTATAGCCAGAATACCACTGAGATCAGTAGTTTATCTGGCTCAATCAAATTTATGCCGGATGAGCACAATAACATAGAACTATCTTCACATAATGTCCGCAGTAAGGAGGAGAAAGACGGATAAAGAATAGGAAGACCAGCAACGCAAGAGCTCACTAGCAAGTAACCGGCCAGGTAAAGGCGTGTCTAAGTGGGAGTCATAAAATGAGTGTAGTTGTCTTACAATACCTGCATTTTCAGCTTAATACTTAAGTTTTAAAATAATGTACTGGTGGACAATAGAATATATCGGCAGAAAACACCTGTTGCTTTCAGATGTTCATAAAAATGTGAGCTAAAAATTTGTTTATGCATGATATGAGGATGAAGAATGCAAGCTTCGTGCAATGAAGGTTCGTCTCCTTGGTATCTTCTCAAAAGATACGGCCAACATGAATCTTTTTAACGAAAGAGATTCGTCATATAAGATATCGGGTCATTACATTGCTGAATGCACTATTATACTCGTAGTTCTCTAATACCTATGCCTATAGTATCAAAGGAAGCCAAAGTAATGGTAGTCCTTTCGACAGTCCTTTTCACACATCGTCGCCCCGTTCAACATGAAAAATTTCTTAAACTAGAACATATGGTGTAGCTGTACTATTCCTAACAGCGACGCGGACAATATGATTGTCATCTCGGGTATTGACGAGTATTTGGATTGAGATCCCGAATGCCAATTTGTATGATCCTCTTGGGACCATCGAAAGTAATTTCTCATACCAATAATTGGATCTCGACCAAAACAAGCAGAAATTGTGCTCAAGGATAATCCGCAATCTCAACAAGATTGAGTTTGCCTTTTTAAGTTTTTTCAGCTTTTATTATGTGTATGTCATGTAATTCTAATAATTTGCATATCCCGTATGTTTATCTTTCATTCAAATTTCAGATTTCTTGTACGCTTGTTACAGTTTTAATGTCCTGTAGCGTTTTTCAACGTTGCGTTATCACGCATACATCAATAAAACATGTTGTGGTTAGACACTCATTAGTTAGTTCTTAATTTGGAACTAAAAAACGAAAATTCGATCAGAAAAGATGCGGAATGTCAGTTTCAATAAACTTTTAATAAAACTTTAAATAATGTTTTATTTAAATTTAAAGTTTTATTTAATAATGTTTAAGAGCATAATGGTTTATCCATTTTAAAGTTTGATCATTTATAAATATTTATCAAATTGAGAAAACGTTTTTAGGATTTGTGTTTCACAAATATATGAAACAAGCTGAATAATATAAATGAAATGCAATTTGATTTCGTCTAGTGTAATAAATTCTGTTTTTTTATACGCTTTAGTGGGTACATCAGATGAAGAAGCAGTCTTGAAGTGGTATCAAGACGAAAATTCTGCTTACTCCTCGAACCGAAGCTCTATTGTTTTCGTGAAGCATATTGAGCCACTGCAATTCAGTCTAGGAAAAACTGTCACTTACTCAGTTATACTAAAAGAATATGTTGGTGAGTCCATGAAAATACGCTAGCAGTATACAGAAGCTGTTCGCACAATTTTAGACGATTTTCATTGCAATTACAGAAATATTTGAATTCGAATTTTTATGCTTTAAATGTATCTATTTGATAACCCTTATTCTTCACCATCTTTAAACATCGTAATTTCCAAGACAATAAAGCCTTTTGCAGTATCGGAAGAGGTATTTTATCCTATTGTTCTCGAACTGCTTTCCAAAGTGAGAGGAGGTTGCATGTCGACGTTTGGAAAACCCCGCTTTATAAAAGTCCCAAAGCGCAAAAATACATTGGTGATAGATCAGGAGAATTAGTAGGCATATAAGGGAAGAGTATGACCTTGACACCCGTTTCTTGTTCTATTTTTTCCAAGAAATTGACAGTAGATTTTGATGTGTCGCTGCTTGCTTTGTCTTTAGGCAATTCTACTGATTTATCACACTATGTGTAAAGAGAAGGTATTTCATATTTGAAAATTGAGTACAAAATATGTTTTTGATAATATGTGGAGTCGATCTTAATACTTATTTTCACTCTCTTTATTTTCAATTTGCCATTATATAAAAAATCAGGAACAATCATAAAACCTTTAGAAAAACTTATTTGAATTAACTTGAACCATTTTTCAAGATTTTTTTTCCTCCTTTCTAGATGATTATAAATGCATTTCATTTTATTGCAGTCATTTACTTACACCTAAGTGACACTCTATAGTGACAATGTTTTTTCATTTTTGTCCCTATTGTCTTATGTTGCTGTGGCAGTTAATGTTTCTCATAACGAATTATGCAGCGCGTTCTGCATTCAGCGATATGTCGCGGAGAAAGACGATGCGCCTTATGTTTTTTCGCTTTTTAAGATTCAGATCAGCCCTAATCATTTTGTTTACAGTTGACACTGAACATTTTAATGATTTGTTTGCAACTGTCCTTTGAATTGGCGGAATTATTTTTGACATAATAGATCTGTTATACACTGACTACCAATAACTATTTGGACACCTATGCAAATGACGATATCTGCGGTCCTAAGGTACGTCACGGACTCCGCCGGTATATATCGTGTAGGAAACAGCATCGGCTTTAGTCGCATGCAAGATGTCTCGTAGTTCGGAGCTCTCTGATTTCGTGAAAGGTATAATTATCGGGCATCACAAATGTGGCCGATCCTTAAGGGACATATCTAGAGATCTTAAGTACCCAAAATCGACAGTGGCCTATGTGATTAAGAAGTTGAAGGTGAGCGGTGATTATCAGAATGGGCCCCGAGTCGGCAGACCAACGAAACTGGGAGATATAGAGACCGACGAATGCTGTCCAGAGAATTCGGAAGAACCGCACCCAACCGATGGCCCTCATCCGCAAGGAGTTTCAACAGGCATCCGGGAGTATTGTTTCAATGAATATCATCCGTAAGGAAGCACATATGCTTGGTTTTCATGGTCGTACTGCTGCCCATAAGCATTTGGTCACCAAGTCCAACCGCGCTGCTTGGTTAATGTGGTGCAAAGCACATCGAAATTGGACCGTAGATCATTGGAAACGGGTTCTTTGGAGTGACGAATCAAAGTTCACCTTTTACCGTTCGGATGGCAGGGTCTGGGTCTGCCGTCTACCTGGAGAACGTCTCCTTCCAGAATGCATTGCGCCAACAGTCAAGTTCGGCGGAGGTGGAATTATGGTCTGGGGGTGTTTCTCCTGGTATGGGCTGGGACCCTTGGTCCCCATTCATGGTAAGCTCAAATCCGATGCCTAATGCACTATTTTGGATGACAATGTGCTTCGTACGTTGTGGCAGTTTTACGGGTTGGACCCCTGTTACTTTCAGGACGACAATGCCAGTTGTCATGTTTCGACGTTAACCACGGCTTGGTATGATGCCAATGGAGTTCATCGAATGGACTGGCCTGCCCAGATTTCATACCTGAACCCTATCGAGAACCTCTGGGACGAGTTGCATCGCCGAATTCAGGGGTGCACTACCCGTGCAAAATCGGTGAAGGAACTTCTATGTCTTCTGCAAGCCGAGTGGAAGAAAATAACACTAGCTGTCATACAAAGACTTGTGGAAAGTATGCCCCGGAGGGTCCACGCTGTAATTACCTCTGGTGGAGGCTCTACCAACTATTGATTTTGAATAAAGTTAGTTTTTCTTTTCTATCTCAGGTGTCCAAATACTTATTGGTAGTCAGTGTATAGTGAAACTGGAGAATTTGCTGAGGAGAGAATTTATATCTTAATTGTAATTATTAGGAAACTAAAATTATTCTACTGTAATTTTGTTTCTTTATTTAATAGGGCTTTTACGAGTATTTCACTAAATTCTTACCTGAAAACAAGTGCTTTAATGTTACTTTTGTTAATTTCTAATTGAAAAATAGGAACAAAAAGAAATATTTTTGTGTGTAAAAGAAATCTGGAGAGCTCAGCAATTTTCTGAACCATTCCGTGCTCTCGAAATCTTAAAATGTTCCAGAATATTCCCTATTGTCTTATGTTGCTGTGGCAGTACCTCCTACATACAGTATGTATGTAGTAGGTACTGGCTGTGGGGGGATTGAGTACCTGTTCTCCTTGATTAATGGTCAAGGGTTAATATTAGGTTACGCGGGAAGGTCAATGAGGTTGGACTTGGCTCTGTCCAGCTTTGGCTCTCTGGTTTACTGGCCGAGCCTGCGCAAGGATTGTTTTTGACTGATTTGGCGGAAAAGTGGTATCAGTCGTGTTTAGGGGATTTCGGTATGCTCGTTGTTTTTTGTGAGCGCGCGAAGGAGTTCGTGCCCTAGTCACGCTTTACTAGTTTTCCGTGAGGTTAAGATCTAAAATAATGCTTCCTAATCAGTCTTACTATTGGGGATTCTGAAGAACCGAAAATTTTTTTGCTCATTCCCAATTTTAAAAGGATCTAGAAAATGCTTCATAATCGTCTAGATTTTCTAGGAAGTTAAATGAACTGACATTAAAAGACTTTTTCGATGTGTCTTAAAAGAGTGCGTAATCTCGAGCCTTTTTGCTTGTCTGCCATAGGGAGATGATCTAAAACTGCGTCAGGATCAGATTTTTCCACTGAGGATTCTAGAAGACTGAAGGACCCTTGCTTATTCCCAGTTTTAGTAGAATCTATAAAAATGCTTCAAAATTGTAAAATATTCAGGAAGGTCAGTGAACAAAAATTAAGAAAATAACTTCTCTCATCCATGACAAAGAGTTTGTGATTTTGTCGCTTTTGAGCCTGTTTCTACAGATGACCAAAAAGTACTTCTTGCTAGTTGAGCTACCTGATAATGCTTTCGATGCGTGTAAACTATGCTTGTATCCCGTTGACTAGATTGATGTCGATGACTACTCTGCCTGCCGGCGGTGTCAATAAGCTTGACTACTATTTCCTAATTTCGACAGCTGTCGAGATCCGGACACCTTTGAATGTTGTGTTGTTGTTAACCCCCATGGGTTCACACAGTTTTATCGACGTCTTCTATGAAGTTTCCATCAAACTCTTCCTGTGGTAGAGTAGACATTAACGCCTTCCTTTTTCCCCCTGAGTATGGAGTCTACCCGAAGGAAGGATTCTCTTTCCGTACCTGTTTCATGCTACCCACTTTGGGAAGTGTCTACCAAGCTAAGTACTTCCTTATTAATATATTTCCTGTCTGATTTTGAGTCCGCCTAACAGCTTAATGTTTGATGAATGGCTAATTTGTTGAGTTCTGATTTATGAATGTAACCTACTAAACTTTCCTAAAGTCTAATTTGAATTAACGTTGATATGTCAAAAGTATAACGCCTCTTTCGCCTGGATGGCTGAGGAACAAAAAATTTAGTTTTCAAAGTAAAAATTTTAAATTCTTTTCTCCCTCGAAAATGTGTGTTAAGATACGAAATGTTTTCTGTAATAATTCATTCTAATTATGCTCTTAATACTATAATTATTTAATTTGGTACCGGCCTAGCAATAAGATTTTCTTAATGAAATGCTTTTGTGTAAAAGTGTTAACCATGATTTAAACTTTGTATAATAAATCGGAATATCAAGAGGAAAGTTGAGGCTCTCAATTGTTTATTTTCTTTTTATTTGTTATATATCCTCATGATTGCAACTGGTTCATTTATTTAATGGTTACATGATATGCTTCAGTATATTTAGTTTAACGTCTGAGTATTATACTTTAATTAAGTGTATGGGAGTTCAATCGGCGAGAACCCAGAAAAACCAGTCACAACGCAATATCCCACATACTCGGTTTATTTAATGTTGTATTTTAGATTTTGTTATATTATTTAGAACTATTAGTATTAGTACTTGTCTTAAGCACGGTACCCTCACGTTTCCAATGGTATCTTTGTTATTTAATACATTTAACCAATTTCTTGACCAGTTACTTTAACGTTATTGGTGCCATTATGTTACAATTCAGCAAAATGTTACATATCTTACTTTTGCAACATTCGAAACATTCCGTTTTTTTATCCTTGGATACGTATTTGGAATAATTTTTCCACTTGAAGCTAAATTTTGGCATTTTTTCCCCTTTGTTGCTGACAACATTACCTATCTTAGCTTTAGATGTCGAAAAACCATGGCTGGCTTTCACAACTCCACTTATTACCAAAAAGATATTTTACACCCAATTTTAAAACATGAAATACCTTCTCTTTATACACAATGCCCTTTTAATATAGAGATATGAATACTTTTTTTCGGAAAGAACAGAAACATAGCCTTTCATCCATTGCTTCTTTAAAAGCGACATTTTGCATAAAAACAGAACTGTCAAGCAGCAGACGATAATTTTATACTTTCAAAAATATACTTACACTTAAAACAAAATTTCAAGCAGACGATTCTTTTTTACGGCAAAGCAAAATCGTCTAAAAAATGTGCGAACAGCCTCTGTAGTCTATTAATTTAAAGATATTTAGACTGTGCATTAATATAAAATTTTATCTAATGAAAACTCAAATTAAAAAAAATGAGATAAAAGTTGCGAAACTTGTAGATCTTGCTATGGAAAACTAACAGGAATGTTTATTTGTCAGCTTTATTTATAAGTTTTTATTGAAACTTCAACCCCGTTTAGTCCGCAACTAATTTACACTATAGTCAATATCAAATGCATTTCTAGAAATAAAACTAATTTATTGCCTGCATGGAAAGATAAAAAAATTTGCAATGTGTTTCAAAGCTACATGTCATTGTCAAGTACATTATCAGATTTTTGCCACCTGTGACGTAAAGCTCCTATATGACAAGTACGCAGTTAATGAAGCTAATCTCGGTCTGCAGAATAATACTCATGTGGATTAGTTTATATGCCAGATTCCATAATACTGAGCATGAAAGTTCTCTTCACTTTTTACGATGCAAATTAAAGTAAAAACTTATTTTCGTGATAAAATAATCTGCGGACTGTATTGGTCAAAGAACAGGTTTTCCACGTGATCTTTGACAACTGCAGGGCATCACCATCATTGTTCACTATCCTAAAATTGGAGTAATACCAATTGCGCCATGGTAGCTCATGTAAAATAAATTAGGCATGGATTAACAAGCATCATTTCAAGAATGTATCCTTCATCCGTTCGACAAAGCCAAAAACTCGTCTGAAGCATACTTCATGCTCATCAGAAGTTTTGAAAAATCTTATTCTAGCTGTACTGTTGTACGGCTAAATTGAGATTTTGAAAATTGAATTGTTAATCAATTATCAAAAATTTTTTTTGGTACAAATGAAGCAATAAAAGGATAGATCTAGTACAGGAAAAAATATAAATATTGGTCTCGCTCATGTGAAAACTGTAGGAAACCTATCTTGTTCAATGACATCAGATGCCAAATTATTACACACCTATCTGGAGTGGTGAATTTCATGCATGCAGTTTTTTCCAACACTTAGAAAGACTGAAGGAAAATATTAAATTTATCATCTAGGATTGATTAATTAAAAATCGGTCATCGTTAAGCAAGACACTATAAGATCTCATACAGTTTTTCATTCATCAAGTTTACCTATATTGTATAGGAAGTTATATTTTATAGACCTAATATTTATAGATTATCCATTATATTATAGATTACCAATAATATTTATAGAAAGTATCATCAAATAGCGAATTCTCATTCGAAAAGATTGTTAAAATAATTTAACTTTAAAATAGCTTATTACTACAGGAAATTTGAAAGATATGCTATGAGGTAATCCCCTTAATCCAGTACAAGCTAACGTATGTGCACGGGTTTTGAGGTCAAGTCATCTGAAAACTGTGTAGAGACATTAGGTATTTTTTTGAAGCAGGAAAGAGGAAAAATTAGCAACGCCTTCGCCGAGAATCGAAATGCGGACCTCTGGAATAGCGGCCCAGCGTGCAGAACCATTACACCACGAAGGCAAGCTAGAAAGGCGGTAGAAATACCTTATATACTCCCCCTTTTAAAGGGCGACTGGGTTTTTAGAGAACGCAATCGCCAAATCCTGGGTGGGGAGAAATCCTCATCAACCACCCTTTTAGTTCGGGCGCCATTGTAGAGGCGAAGTTTGTTACGTCGAGTTGACGCAGTGCAAATTTTAAAGAGTTAATAAAGGGTTTTAACCCTTCTTCTGTGTAGTTTCCTGCTACTCCTGTATTCATACAGAAGTGAACCCACCTGGACCCTACAACTGTCTTTTGGCAAACAGTACATTAGAATATAAACTCAATATTCTGAAAGGCACTCACGTTTTTGATGGTCATCTTCTTATGTTCATCATTAACATCACACATAAGAATCTTTCCAAGCCTTTATCACCTTCACCTTTAGCTCTTAAAATTTATTTATAATTTCTTTCTTTTTGTCTGCCATTTATCCTAAAGGATTAAAGTTTCTAACAATATGCTTTTCGGAAATCTTTTAAGCCTGTCAATAAAATTCAAATTCTAGTTCGTAAAAGACCGAGTACCAAACATTCAAATAAACTCGCAGATCTTTAAAATTCAGGATAAATCTTTGCATACGATCTGTTAAACAAAAGGAAGCTTCCCTTCGATAGCTTCCCATTATTGGCGGGAAAAACAAATTTCAATATTCGAAAGCCAAAATTATTGCTCATACTGCTTCGCCCATTAGTTTGGATTTCTTAGAAGCTCCTGAAATTGTCCTACGTCATCAGTCTTTGTAAGAACGAAATTTGCCCTCCGTTTCATTTCCACGGCTTAAAAAACATGTTTTCCGAGTCCTACCTCTGCTCTTTCAAATAAGCTCTAATATTAAGTGTTATTATTCACTATTAAATATTTCAACTTGGATTGCACCATACGTGACTTCGATTTGGTTGACTTACGCGTCTTGGGATTAGACTTCGACCTTATTCTATCATCACCATCGCTGCAATGTCATAAATGAAGACATGGTTTGGAATTGTGCGTAGTTCTATGCGAGATTGGGTTTTCGCCTAAGTGCCTGAATTCAGTGATTCGTTCATTTGAGTTACACTCCTACTGCTCACATAATACCACTTATGCTGCATTAAGATGTAATGAAACTGTAGTCATAGAAAAAAATATTTTATTACATTTGCTAATTATTACGTTGAACGTATTCATTTTTATACAAAAATTGTAGATACTCATATCTACAACTGTACTCGCACATGACTTCTTGGCAGAGCATCTCCATCGCATTGGGATCTTTTCGAACTCTGGTGGACCTCTCTCTGATTCCGCAGATCCAATGAATAGAGACCACCTCCGTCCGATGTACGCCACTTCTTAATGACTCTAAAACTTCGCTTTATTGGCGTGCTAGAGAACTTCTGAGGCAATGACTTCGGTCAATTTTATATATTTTATGTACACTTTTTATTGTTAGTTTATATTTTTGCATTTGCCTCGTCGCTGGAATTTAAAAAAAAATACTTTGCTGAGAATTGAAACAGTTGCGTGATTTTGCTTCGTCTTAACATCACACATGGAAGAAGCCACGTAAAGATCAGTAAATCCTAGATGAAATAACTATGTTAAATGATCTGAATTATTTCATTGTTGGTAAATAAGGGTAAAAAGTTTCGTATTTTAGTTTGATAAATATTCGCTAGTTGCCAGACCTTCAAGTTCTGTTCGAATTTAAAGTTTTAAAATGTTTATATCGACTCGTCAATTTATATGCCTTGAAAAGTGCTAGTGTTAACACATTTATACATACATATGCTTTATACATTAAAAGAGCTTATGCCAGTACAAAAAACGTAACTAGTGACAGAATGGCAAAATGTCTTCAAAGTACGAACACCAACGTTAAAGCGTTATTGCCTTAACTGCTGCCACTAATATTGTGAAATCAATGAGCATCTCTAACCACCGGAGATCACTGGTTTCAGTTGAGTAAGAACTGACTCCTTGTATATCTTATACTTTACTTAGAACGTAAATCAAATTATAATTAATAATCCGCAGAAAATCTTAACCAAGACTAAATTCGTCTATAGTTTACATAACTCTTTACAGAACTTAATTGACCTAATCAGAAGTTGGGGGGGGGATAAACTGATACATATTACGAAAAATTGCAGATTGAATTCATATTCGTTGTGAATTTCTTAAGTTAACCCACGTCTGCCTTCTAAAAATTCTCCTCGAATTCTATTTTGCAGAGGAGTTTTTTTTATTTCATTTTTATTTTTTTTTATTTTTTTAAAATTTTTACTAGTTAAATAATTTGTATTCCTTGGATAATGAACTTTCATTCAATAAGAGAATAACAAACGTATTTCTATAAATTATGAAACTAAAAATGCGTTTTATTTTTCAGAAAACTTTACTTGTTTGATGCTTAAACTCCCTTTCGTGCGCCATATCACTGGCAGCATAATCAATTGTTATATTCCTTCAACCTTGATAGTTATCGTGAGTTGCGTGACTTTCTGGCTGAGACCAGAGGCTGCACCAGCACGAGTGACCCTTAGCATCACTTGCCTTCTCACGTTGTGCACTCAGGTATTGAAAATAAAAATTTTATTTGTTGTTTAATTTTTTAACATATTTTGTAAATATGAATTTTAATTTTGGAAATTTTATGCATTCATAAAATCACAAGTAAATTAGTATTTAATCATCCTAATAATTTAAGCTAGTTGTATACACAAGCATATCATAAACAAAAAATTTTAATGCAATGAGCATCAGCTAAAATTTCTCTCGCTTTGAATATGCTACATGAATTGCAATATACGGTAGGAATATGCCATAAGTATATCCCTATAATTATATCTCGAATCCAGTTGAAACATTAAGTATATATATATATCGACATCTGCAATCGAAATCTAAACACAGCCTGATAAATCTAAAAATAGCCAAGTATTTCTGTGCAATTAAATTTATATTGTATACGTGCCATTTATAAAATTGTGTAAGAATTATTTGTATAAGAAACATAAACTGGGTTCAACATTGAACACACATTGAAACATTAAAATACACAAGCATGTTACAAAAAATCTTCATCTAATACGCCAATGAGCTTTAAAAAATCTACTACTAATCAAAAATGTGTTGTGAGAAAGCATGAGAAAGCAAACCATTTGTCAAAAACACCTGCCTACTTTAGCAAAACAATATGAACACAATCAATTATACTCCGAAATAATAAAGAACTTCTGTTTTTAATTAATGTTTTATATTTCCTTAATCTATTTATTTATCAGCTCAAAAGAGCTATTAGTCTCGAAACAAGATTTTACGTTTAGTCAGTTTAAATGCCGCTTATTGTAAATGTCTAATTTCACTTTTCATTCAAGTCTTTTCCATTCGGAAAAATGTAAAATATTTACGTTTTAAATTTATTCTGTCTGTTATTGATTGACAAAGTAAGTTGTTTAAAACCAATATAAACTGCTAAGAATATTATTTGGTAAAATCCTAGGAGAGCCCACACCCTTGACGACGAACTGGGAAAGGACGACAACTGCTTCACGCGTTTCTCAAAATAACCAACTTAAAAATAACAAGTCAAAGAATTGTACAAACTCGTATCCATGTACGCATCGACCTATTTTCACTTAAAAAAAGTATCAGAGAATTTCACAAATTTGGAATTGCACACTCCCTTTACTTTGTCCATGTACACATCCATATGCGCCATAACCAAAATCATTCGCTCCCAGGGTGTGGGCTCTGCTAGGATCCAATCTATTATTTTTTTTTCAATCTAATTGATTTAGCACTTAATTGATGATATAGCTAATTAAAAGCATTATATGTTTTTATAGGATATAACTTCACCATGTGAATCTAAATGTATATTCCTCCAATATTCTGTGAAATGTTTTACTATTCTCGATGGGATTTCTATTGGCAATCTTTTCTGATAAATCATCTTAAACTTTAAAAGAGTATTTCTGGGTAGCCATTAAAATCTGATTCTTTAAGACTTTTTAAAATTTTTAATTCTTTTCTTTCGTTTTTTTATTATTATATTTTTGTTTTTAATTATACTTAAGCATTTATAACTAACTAAATGCCTGGTAAACAATATTTTCTGGGAAGTAGATGATGAATCGTCGTTTCCATAAAAGTAATCGTATTCAAACTTCTTAAAAAAATCCATCTTATACGATGCTTTTAACGGAAAAATTTCGGAGTGTTTCAAAATGAAAGAAATTTTTGATTTTTGCAATAGAAACATACGTCATGTATTATTTCATCGAAAAAAAAGGAACATTGTATGTTTTGCAGCTCAATTTCTCTCACTGTGGTAATATAAAGGTAAGTTCTCCTCAGCGCTGGATCAGTTGAGTGCATGAAATGGCGTCAGTAGCGTTTAGAGTCATCTCTATACTCTCAGAAATGAACCACTAGTGCCATTTATCTCTGGAGATTCTCAAAGAGAACGTGCATGTGCCAATTCTAGTATCGCTTTACAAGAATTTCTACAAATATTTATAACTGCTTTGCATTTCATGCATGTTACTTAACTAGAATGCGCCCGGCACGAAATTAATTATTGCTTTTGTTTCATGCCGACGCTCAGGTAGTGCTCGTGTATACTTTACTATCTTACTATGTTATATTACCATGTATGTTATCTTACTGTTTTTTTTAACTGTTTTACTATGATGCAGAAATCATAAACCTATTTTGCATTAAAACAGTCGCTTATGATAGTTAGAAAATCTTCACCATAACCGTTTCTTCCAGTTCAAAAGGATTTTTCAGTTAGATTTTTCTTTCTCAGTTATATTATCTCAGAAGATTATTGAAAATCGCAAAAAAACTTTGTAGTATATTTATATTTTGCATGCCTGATTCACTGTGGAATAATATCCATTGAAACCAAGAAGGAACAATGTCCCATAAATTTAAATACCAGTTAAGTTTACGGTATGATTGGAGACATTCAGGTTATAAGTCATTTTCACCCAAGTTCAGAAATTTACTTGAAACAAATGAAATCAAGAAATAAATATTCACCCAATGGCGAAAATGTAAACATTCTAGAGAAATATGCGACCTATTGTGCAACAGAGGATGTTTACACAATTTTAGAATGATTTCGATAAAAAAATTGTTTTTAATTAATATTTTGGAATAAAAATTTCTGGTTGCAGCCTATTGTTTGAAATGAGAAATAATCTGTGCTACTTTTAAATTTATTCTTTTTTCAAAATGTTGCATGTAAACAGTTTGTAGATTGAAGGATATGTTTCTGCGCTTTCCGAAGAAGAATATTCCAATTCCATAATACCAAAAACGTTGTGAAATGCACGGTATTAAAATATCTAAATGTAAAACAAACAACATTATTAATCAGAAAAGGAAAACGGTCAGTCATGACTTCTGAATGGAAACAAGTCTCCAAATGAATACTCGAAAAAAGGTAAGCACTATTTAATGTGTTTCTAAAGTTAATTAGTTGGTAACAAGAGAAAATCAGCCTACGCAGAAGTAAATGTAAATTGCGTATGCATCTGTAGCAAGCCTCGGTAGCGCAGTAGGCAGCGCGTCAGTCTCATAATCCCTTGAAAGAGATGCATCTGTAGCAACAATATGTAGCAACAATAACTAAAATAATAAGCCAAGATTTAGATCTTAAAAAAGTTAAAACATAATGTTCACCAGCTTTTGCCGAGGCATGTGGCTAAAGAAAAACAATTTGTAGAACTTCGTACAACTATTTATCAGGACATGAATGAAAATCTAGATTCATCACAGAAAACAATGCAATTGCCCGAAGGCACTCTTTTCTGTGATGCGAAGTTTTAGGTTGAAATTCTGCCTGTTTGTCTGCAGAAGGTATTTTATTTCCCATCTACTATGCCCCCCTCAAAAAAAAAAAAAAAAAAAAAAAAAAAAAAAAAAAAGAAAAAAACAGTGGGCCCTAACCGCCATCTGGGTATGCGCTCTCTAGGAGTTACAGGCTTCCCCGAGAGTTTCCCTTTCGGACGCAAATGCCATGCCAAATACAGATTGAAGGAACTTTCAGTTGCATACAGCATCAATAAATCGACATATAACTAAATCCATTGTCAGACTTAGAACTCGCATTAAAGAGGATTGAAAATTGACAGAGTAGGAAAATCTATAAGAACTGTGATATATGCCTGGACAGAGAACTGACAACTACACACATTTTTGATTGTCCATCCATCCTTTCTGAATTGCTAGAAATTGGAATCTTGTTTAATGATGTCTCTATGATAACATTTTGAAGATTGCTAGGGCTGTCATCTCCGCCCATGGCACTATCTGAATAATCATTATCATAGACATTACAATAGCAACATAAATAGAAATACATTGTGATCATTGATGAAGCATGTATTTACCTAAATGACTGCAACAAGTCTATTAACAGTCTATTAAACGTCTAATATTTAAAACGAAGAGAAAAAATGCATAAACCTGGTTTCGTCAATGCACAAAAGGTTTCAGAAAGGAGTTTATAAGTGTCACAAGATCCTCTTACGGTGGAAAATCTAAAAAAAGAGGGAAAAAACTGTTTAAATCAACGTACTAACAAGAGAAAAGTTTACATCCGATATTTACAGAAAAAATTTCATTTCTTCACCCAAGCGATTTTCAAAGAATGAAACTTCCTCAAGAAAAAGCAACAAGTTATACTTCGAAAAGTACTATTGCATTCCTTAACAAAATGAAGACTGATACAGGTATTGCATTTATGCCTTTTTAACGTATTCTTGTGAATTTCCCTGACCTTCCACCTTTGGACTTACTGTACCTTTGATCCCTTGAAAAAAGCACTTTATAAACGCATACCACGACGATTGATAGGCTCTGGAAAGTAATGGGAGAAGAATGGAAATCAATATCCCTGGAAATTTTAAGAAAGCCCTTCTATCATGAAACTCATAGTGCAGACTTATAAACGAAAAAATTAGATCACACATTTAAGACATTTACATTTTAAGCATTAATTAAATGGCCTCGAAATATTTCTATAAATGTGAAACAGCTTCTGTGCATTAGCATCGGACAACATGAATAAAATACATCCATAATATATAAAGAAAGTAAATCCATACGATACAAAGAAAGAGTGCATTAAAATACAAGCAAAGAAAAAATTAGTGGCAGAAATGCAAATGGAGAAATTTTGCGAAAACTTCCTTAAGATAGATGAAATCTCAATATTATATAGAATAATGAGTCAAAGTCTTACTTTACTTTTTACCTATTAGGCTTCAAATCGATAGGGTATTTAAGTATCTCTTCTTTTTCAGTCGATCCACAAACTCATTACATTTTTATTTAACGTTTTAATTAAAAAACGCAAGTACATGTAGTGTTACAATCATTAGGCTCTGTAAAAAGTAACAATTATGCTCTGTAAACTGTAATACAAACCAACAATATTGAGAAAATTTAATTTAATGTAATGAAAATTGCCTCTTATATTGCTTTCTTAAATTTTATGCAGATTCAGCAATATAAATCTCACCTCCCTCCAATAAGCTACGTGACGGCTTTGGATATCTGGTTCTTTGCATGCATTATTACTGTATTCTCAACTCTGATAGTTTTCGCTGCTTCATACGAAGCATACTATGCTAGAGAAGTAAGTTAAGTTTGTTGTTATACCTTACTTCAAGGGAACAGAAATGCTATTAGAATTACTTAAGTTATCTTAACACTTTTTATATAAACTGTGTAATTAGCATCCCAAAAAAGCTAATCTTCTAATCTAATATGCTTATTCAGTTATGCTCTTCTAAAACGTAATATTTTGTTTAAAAATGGTATGTAAAATATTTTGTAAAGTATTTCTCATGTTTACGAAAACATTGCTAACGCAAAAGCATAAGTTATAAGCTGAAGATATATCTCTCTTATATTCTATACTAGAAACTTAACAAATCGTTGTACAGATAGAAATTCATTTGGTTTCCTTTTACAACATTGAGCATAGAGCTTTTCTATACAGCATGCTTTAGAGCAAGGGTTCATAAAATTTTCTAAATTTACCGAATGAGCTAAATAAAGTACTTCTAGCAAAATTTCAGTTTCTGGAATAGATTACGTATTCGTTGTAAATGTCTTATGCATAAGTCTTGTCAGGATATTTTAGACTAAGTGTTTTATGGACTTTCATTCAGATCCTCCATGAAATTTAAACAGAATTTTAGATTCAATAAAACTTTTTTAATTTCGAGAGTGATCAATCAAATGTCCTTTTCTTCAGGAGCGAAGCATACTTTTTAATAAGAGAATCGCTTGAAAATATTTTCTTGATTTCAGTTTCAAAAAGGAATTTAAAATTTTCTACGCTTTTTATACATTTTTTCCTGATCTGTTACATAAGGCCTAATCGTATAATTTAGCATTCTGAGCTCTAAAATACAGTGTCAAAGCAATTGAAAATTAATTGCATAAAAATTCCTGTGTAATTTAAGCGCTTGAATAAAAGAACTTCCTGTTCACAGAATGAAAGTTGATAATTCTATGTGCATCCAGTTTTACCTCTGTTACGATTAATTTAAATGCATAAAATATTATGCGACTTTAACCACGTATACCCTTAAATCACTAATGCAAAAAAAAAAAAACTTAGAGACTACCAGCAGAGGAAATTTAATAAACGAAAGCAATTATTGATAATCGAACTTCACTTTTATAATATCATTCTAAGAATTTTAAGAATAAAATAAATGTGTAAGTAGGATACATCATTGCTAAATATAGTCTAATTTTTAACATTTTCATGCAAGGAATTTATGACATTGATTCTGAAACGATATAAGTACACATAACAAACTACCTAACATATGTTTCGTAGCAACAACTCACAACAGAATATTTATGCCTTTTTTTAATTTGAACATTTTCCGGATATTTAGCTGATTCCGGATATTTAGCATAATTTTTTTCTTTAGTATTTTTTCTAAATTTATCTGTTTCAATAAACAAAGTAATTCTCTCACTAGTTTCTGCTTCACAACCTAATTTGAATTTACCTTTGAACAATAATTTTCTTCATGTAATCTCATTAAGTTTCCTCTTCATTAAAATTTTAGATTTAAATGAAAATTTTTTGCTCTAAAGAAGTGCACATATTTAGAATGTATAGAAAAAACTGCTAATTTTATTTCTCTTATGATATGAATATTGAGAATAAAGGTAAAAAGATATAAAGTCAGGACTGGCCCTAGAGCTATTGAGGCAGAATTTTAGAAATTAGTGAAGCACTGAGCAACAAAATTAAAAGATTACAGATTAGGTTGGCATAATTTTCTTTCTTTTTAATAGAAAAATTCCCTTCTACAGATACCTGTCCATGGGACAAGATTAGAACTTCTTTTGTAATTTCCCACCTTGTATCTAGTGAAAAGTCGAGGAAATAAAGTGAAAATAAACATGTTAAGGAAGAGACTTTTTAGGATCAAAAGTAGAAAATTTAAATAACTTTGTTTTCACTGTTCTTTAATTCCAAAAGAAAAGAAATTCATTACAAATATCCTGTAAAACCTATCCATTTTCATTTTAATGACATGTCGAAATTTTTTATTTTGTCACATTTATCTATAAATCTTGTTTTCAAATCCTTCCGAGGTGCTAGGTCTAAAAATTATCCCACTCTGTAAGAGCAAAGAGTCAGAAGATTTTTGAATAAAAAATTTAGAAAACAAGAGACTAAATTGAATTTTTAAGAGAAACCTGACACACATTTGAACAGTTTGAAACAACTAGACTGGGGAGGGAGAGAAACTTCTGTAAAAATATAAAAGAAAACAGATAAATTAGTATTTCAATAATTAAGTACCTTTTTTGCTTTTTTTAAGAGGTGCTTCAGAAATGGTGTTTTATCGTATGAATTATCTTCTTTATTTTTTCAAATCAAAATATTTTTAAAACATCAAAGTGGAAAGTAATGTCACTTTAAAATCTGACATGAGAAAATAAAAATGTTTTATTTTAATGCTATTTCCTAATTACAATTTTAATAGATTATCGTTATTTTAATGATATATTATAATTTTTTATGTTTGTAAAATATGAAAATAAATATCGAAAAGTTCGCAAATCTCCGGATCAAAACTTTTGTATACAAATTGATCTTGAATTCGGTAAAATGTTGAAAAGTCGCTAAATTTAGCACCGCATAATAAAAGAAATCATATACCAAACAGGAAACGTTATTTTGATGTGATATTTTATGAACTCTTCATTCTAAAAAAGAAATAATTTTGAAATGCTTCAAGAGAAGCAGGGTTTCGTGCCCAAAAACTCGAAAATCGCACCGTTTATATTAGAAGCAGGAAAAAATTCAAATGATAACCCATAAAATACATATTTGTCAAAGAGTCACAAAAATTATTTCTCAAAAATGTTAATTAACATTCAAAATTAATCGTAAAAAACAAATAGAAATGTCAGATAAGTGAAATTAAGGACTTTTAAGAACCAAAAGTCGTTTCCACAAAACAAAACAAAAACAAAACAAAAAAAAAACCCTAAGCACTTTTAAGTTCTTTTAAAGGCCATACAAATTTTGGTTTCCCATCACAACAAAGGGAGCCACCTGTTAATTTATCTGATGCTTGTAGTAATATATTGATTATATACAAAATATACAAAATATTTTGATTTGAAAATGTGGCAAATGGTGTATTACGTTTGAAGTGATGAAGATGCAGCCGTAACAGTTTCCTTAAAATAAAATGGTAGTCCATCTTCTGCATTCAAATGGCCATTACAATATTTTACTCTGTATCTATGGAAAGTTTGCCTATAAATCCTCCTACATGTGGCCCATGTAACAGGTGTGTCGCAAAGGCAAGTGATGGAAAAGCTCATCAAGGTAAAATTGTTAAATAAGAGTATGCCACTTGATTTTCACGGCCCCTGCGATAAACCGTGCAGTTTTGTAACAAAAAAAAAAAAAAAAAAAAAAAAAAAAAAAAGAACGTACTTTTACGTATTTGACGAACCGTGTGATATCATAATAATCGTTTTTGCAGTTTAAACATTATAGAAAAACGTGTTCAACTTTTAACTTACCGAGTAGTGCGGAAGATTCCGTATAGTTTTCCCAGGAAAAAGATATATTACCTCGCAAACGAATATGTACAAATGGCCACGAAATGAAACTATATGTAAACGAAAAAAATGTAGCGAAACATGAAAATTTATAAAAGAAAAGAGCCCATTCGATTCAACAACTGGTTCAGTGGTTCCAAACACCATTCCTAACCACTCTGCTTTTCTCTAGTGTTGGGCAGAGGAACTAATGCCACTTAAGTGGTGCGATACAACTCAACATCTGTCAAAATACGACGATTGACTGGAAATATTATTATAAGAGAGATTGTCCGATAGATTTACTTCGACAACCTAAAGAACGAATAAGTGGCTCTGGAAAACTAGTCCAGCTTGAGGATAATTTGTTCGTGGGAAAAAAAAAAAAAAAAAAAACGCTGGCAGGCTACTTCCACAGCAGTATATATTCGGCGGATTAAGTCGTGAAAGTGGCGAGTGCTTGCTTTTTCAAGTACCAAATCGAAAAGCAGGCACACCTATATCAACGACGGTATAACACAGAAGGATCAAAGATATATTCAGATTGTTGGCGACAGACGAGCCAACAATCAATAAAACAGACGAGCTTACAGCAATTTAACTGTGAATCACACATTTAATTTTGTTGATCCAACAATGGGTGCTGACACCCAAAATATGGGAAGATTGCGAGGTTCTGTTAAGTGGCGAAACAAAAAGCAAATATGCCTCTACATCATCAGAGTCGTATCTTTCCAAATTCATGTAGCGGAAATGTTTTGGGAAAGAAAAACCTTTTAATGCCGCACTAAAATCAATCGCAGACACAAACTACATGGTACGTAGTTTAAACTTGGCAATAATCTTAGCGCTTTGATAACGTGGGCCGGAAAAATCAAGTAGCACCGATAAAAGCATATATATATATATTATATCTATATAATATATATATGTAATGAATCTTTAAATCGATTGATTAAATTAAATTCTACTCATATTGCTTAATAATGTGTTGGCGATTCTCTACCTAAATTGCATCCCTGTTCCTAAATTTTGGCGAAATCCTTTCTTTATTATAAATTATATTAACCTGTTGGCGCCCGCCAAATCATGAAACTCATAAATCTGTCATATTACATAAAAAGTCCTTAAGAACACTCCTGATGAGGAGATAGCGTCACCTCGTGATTTCAATTAATATCGCTGACTGGATAAGCCATGGACCTTATAAGAAATAGACTAACCCTGTAGGCGAGGCGCGCGTCACTGACATGTCGGCAAGAAAGAGTAGGGACGATCTGGTTTACTTTAACATTGAAACCTATGGCGTTTGTATCCCATAACTCTTTTTAATTATTAAATGTGATACGTTGTATAGTGATGAGATTATGAAACCCACAGTTTTTTTTTTTTTTTTTTTTTTGTTTTTTTTTTTTTTTTTTTTTTTTTTTTTGTTTTTTTTTTTTTTTTTTTTCCAAATAGAATTTAATATATCTCATTAAAGCACTTTACTGCATTTCGCGCATTTATTCCACGCGTAAATTCTTGTACAAACATCTTTACTTGGTAAACGGTAAAAACACTAAGCACAAATTTATGAACTTATTTTTTTGTGTAAAAAATAAAATAAAATTAAATAAGATTGATAGTACGTGATGCTTTGAAATAATAAGGTAAAATTAAACAAGATCTGATATTTTTTTTTTTTCTTTTAATTTAATGAAAATTTTCAGACAGTGATTTTCCAAAGTATAAAATAAATTACAAAACGATCATATTTATTTGATTTATGATCATTAAATTATTACATTAAAGTGGATTAGTATTTTAATAATTCATAAAATTCGGAGCATAAAATTTCTAAGCGTAATGAAGGAAAAAAAAAGATAAAATAAATCTAGAAGCACTAAAATTTTATATTATAGGAAACTTTTTTTAAAGTTTGTGCGTTACCTATTTATTGATTATCATGTCTTCGCCCGTAAACCACATACATTTGAAAACAGTTATCCTTAGAATTTTCGCATTGGAGGTAAAACTGTATTTTCCGTACAGTGGTCGCTCTGAAACTCGTTGAGTTTGTTAATCAAAATTTGTTATAAAGTTTTACAAATATGAAATAGATTAAATAAATTCGAAATTCGGCCATCCCAGATGCCCACTTCGGTTGGAGATTACATTATTCAAATTTGATGCGCTAGATAACTGTCGTTTTGTCACAGTGCAAGAAACATACATGTATTCATGCATATTTCTTCATTATTTATTTCTTTACATATATATACAGGGCGATAATTTGGTACACAATTTTGCAAGGAACATGGACACTTATAGAAACAAAGCGCAAAATTCCGCTTGCTAACAGCCTTTCTGGGCGACCGCCGCAGAACTACAAAAATTTAAAAAAATCTTCACTATAAAAACAAGCAAATTAATTTTACGGTTAAATACAATTTTAATATTAGAATTAAACGCATAAAAATTTTTTAAGGCGCAAAGTCTTTAGCACTATGATGTATTATGGAAGATATTGAAATAAAATTCCTTTATAGAATTGTGCTATAAATAGTCATCTATAATTAAAAAAGCAGCACAATTAGAATTTTAAGCAAAACTTTCAAAAATTCGTTTTTAACTATTTTACTTTTTCACTTACACCCATAAAAAGCATAAAATTGCAAGAGAAAATTGCCTTTTTGAAATTTTCTATTAGTTCAGATTTAAATATTATTTTCTAAAAGAATAGTTACAAATTTCGTTAAGCATAGGAAAAGCTAAAAATATCCAGCCCTGAAAGCATGGAATAGCTTTATAATTATTTGGAACGTTAATTATGCTTGATAAATATGCTAAAGTTTTTAAAAATTAATCTCAATTTCAAAAAAAAAATATAGAAATTTAATTTGTCAATGAGGCGCACATACATTTTTTTCTTGATAATTATACACGCTTCATAGCCACCAATGTAAATTTCTGCAAGTCGTCCCTACACCTCCGGATGTGATCAAGGTGACAGCCGTCAACGCCTCAGACGAGGGAGAAAACTTGTTTGGGTTAGTCTATTTCTTATAAGCTCTATGGGATGAGCAGTATGATGTACACATATCTATAAATAGGGCTTCTCCTAAAGGTACAGGAGGAACGCTTGCGAGATGGATGCCAAAATAAACGTATCACTTTATAATTCCAAAATTTGTCTCATTCCTGTTGCCCTGGCTGCACAACAAAAATAATGTATGAGATTCTATATTTCATATATATATATATATTTAACGCTGTTACGTATTTATATGCTTTAATTGAAAAGTTGCAACCTGAAAATAGCATTATGGGACATATAGTTTTAAACTGCGAAAAGCGCTGAATAATTTACAGTTTCTTTCTGTATGTCAAGACAGCTGTCTGTCCGTACCAACTAATGGCTGTTAACAAGGATTAATATAGTAAATAATTCATCTGATTAAAACTAACAATCCAATAATAAAACATTTCGTACTGCAGAGTTTCGTGGTAGACATGCTTGATCATGCTCCCGATCAATGATTAATTAAGCTAATTAAGATCATCTAAAGACAATAATTACATTTTATTATAATTGAATATGAATAATTTATAAAATAATTTACTTTCGATCTCAGTAATTAGCACCGCCTTAGCGATAATGTTTAGAACTACTACCTCTCTCCATGTTTTAAATCTCTTCAACATTTCTGAAAAGTATACACAGAATCTGAAAGCTTTTCTGTTTATTGCGCATAAAAAAGATTTTGATTAGAACAACTTATTTAACTTGAAACAAACGTTATATCAGGGATTAAATTAGATTAAATTACGAATTATTATTTTATCATTTCTTTTAAATGTAAAACTTTTACATATTTCTGCAAATGCATTTATGAGTTAAGAATTCGGCTCGTCATTTTGATAAAACTATTATGAATTAGAAGCGACAGCCTTCTATCGTAACCAAATGAAATAAATTATGCAAATAATTAATTTTATTACTTTGTCTGTAGTTTTACGTCCCAATATTTAAATCATTTCATATTAAAAATAAACATTTCTAAATCTTGAAAAGATTTCATTATTAAACAGATATTTTAGAAAATTTTATTGTCTAGCTGATATAATTGAATTGACATGTTCGTAGACCTTTGTTAAAATTTTAAAATTTTCTGCGAAATAATTTTTAAATGTGCAAAAGTATTAAATACATATGATGTTATCTAAAAATTTTAAATTCACTTATTTCATTTATTTAATTATGAAATGCTAGGACAAAATATTTATGTGTCAGTACTGAAGAGTGTGAATAGAACTAAAAAGCAAAAGCCTTTCGTTTTAAAAAATTTTATATACGAACCTTCCTAATACATCTGCGGCTGTCATCAGATTGGCTACATAATCTAAGGATGGTCATAAAGGTGCAAGAGATCTAAGTTTTCGAAAGAAAGAGAAAGATTAATGCTTTTAATTTTATTTAAATGCTTACATATTCAGTTTCATAATTTAAACGTCTTTATGATGTAAATGCAGTTGCATTTTATATTGATATTTTTGCTATTATTTTCCATTAATACTCTATCACTGCAATGAAAATTTTTTATTTTTACTAAATTATGTTACAGAAGGAAAAATCAGTGAAATCTTTTCCAGCTGTTATTTGTTCTGTTCGTGGAAAACACAATTCCTTGAGTAGGAATAATAAAGTGGATAGGACTGAACTGAATGAGACTAAGAAAGAAGTGAAGTACCTCTCGGTCTCAAGATATTGCGATTCATATTCAATTGATAAAGCTTGCAGAAAACTGTTTCCTTTTTCTTTCACTGTGTTTGCTATTTGTTATTGGGTCTATTATCTCAGCAGTTTTTATTATCATTAATCACCTAATCGATGTACTTAAAGTATCATTAACCAAAGAACTCAAATCAAACCAAGTGTTTCCATATTTGCTGTAATGAGTTAACACTGTCACAATTGTGAATATGCCATATCATAGTCATTTTCTGAATTTCTAATTCATACGTACCTAACAGGGTTAAACAATTGCCGAATTTTTTGTATTACTACATATAATATCCAGGCCAATTGTTTTCTTATTTGATGTTACAGGAATTTACACTGCTACAACTGAGAATGTATACTGCCATAATCTAATCATTTGCTAAATTTCTAATTCACGCAGAGCTAAGAAGATCAAGAAAACTAGTGCCGAATCTTTTGTATTACTACTATATAAAATATTCAAACTAATTTCTTTCTTATCTGATGTTACATGAATTTACACTGCCACAACTGAGAATTTATACTACCATATTATAGTCATTTGCTGAATTTCTAATTCACGATTAGCTAATAAGATCAAAAAACAAGTGCCGAATCGAATCTTTTGTATTACTATTAGATAAAATATTGAAACCAATTGTTTTCTTATCTGATGTTACGTGAATTTACACTGCCACAATTGAGAATTTATACTGCCATATTCTAGTCATTTACTGAATTTCTAATTCATTCGCAACTAAATAAGATCAAACAAGCGTCGACTTTTTTGTACTGATAAGTATATATTTCAAATAAGTCATTATAATAACGACTCTTTGAACTTTTATAAAAGCCTAACTAAATAAATAAAATATTAATGTATTATTTTTAACTAATAACTATTAGCATAGCAGGAAAAAAATTTACCTTGTCAAACTCAAACATCTAAATAACCTAACAAACTAAATCTCATTTTCTGAATATTAAGTGGATGGACTCTACTATTGGCTTAATACGGCCTTTACCTAAATACAATAAATTAATGCAGCAGGTTTTAGTTATAACTATTTTCCAAAATGTCCAAATTTACCAGCAGTAAAATGTTATATTTAATTAATTAGCTTCGACTAACTAACGTCGAACTTGCACAATTTGTGTAGGCAAAACAAAATTACGTGAAATGTTTTTGACATTGTTAACGATTGAGAGCTGGTGGATAAAAACACACTTAATCATACGTTTAATAATACGTAGTCAATCATTTTACGTTTCTATTTTCATTGACAAAAGCTTTTATGCATCACTGGCAAATTGGCGCTTTGAGCCCCTGTTCTTGAATATATTTTATAGTTTTAAGACGTTGTGGTAAGAAAAGCAGCGAGAGCAATCTATTTAGCAAGAGAAGCAGAGAGCAAATGCGGCATGTTCATGATAAAATACTCATTCAGAATGATTTAATTCAGTCCACATTTCTCTTATTGGTTGTTATGTAAGATAAAAAAAATGAGTAAATCAAAAATTCTAGTTTTAATTTACTGTAGTTTCTTAACTTTCCGTTTTAATTTGCATATTCCCCCCGCTATCCTAAAAATAGACATTGCTCATAATAAATCGCTCTTAAATGCATTATTACAAAATTGATTAATGTCGTATAATGAACGCTGTACAACGAACGCTAATGACATAATAATAATTTTACACAAAAGCTTCATCCAATAATGAGTTCGATTTCAGCACTTTCTCAATCTACACCATACTTCTTTGCTCAATTGTTGCAATCTGAGAATTACACCATTTACTTTAAAACATTGTTTTTTAATTTTCTTTTCCTAACCCAATAGACGAAAAGCACTCAACTTCTTTTGTTCTCTCTTTATTAAATTTTTATTCCGAACACAAATTTAGTTCTTGTCAGAGACTAAACTAGACACCTTTTTAAATTTTCCACTAGACATGGTCGCTTTAGCTTTTGCAAATAACAGTCGTTTGTAGATTTCGTTTATTCATTGCATAATTATAATACTGAATTCCCAGAATTTTATGTTACTTTTTTATGCACATTTCACTTTTCAATTATATTGCCTAAAATCAGTTTTATTTTAGCTATTTATTTTCTTAAATCAGTTTTATTTAGTATTTTATACTCATTTGCAACAATTTACAGTGTCACAACGCTTAACATTTTTTCTATTAATTTTCAAAACCACATTTTTATTATCATTTTAAATACTAATATTCGAAACTATTTCTTTGTTAGTCATATTAACATTTCTCTAATTTCTCTCAAATAATAAAGGAAATTTAACAACTATTTCATTTTCAGACTACTAAAAATGTTAATAATTATCCAAAGATTTTTAATTTCAGTTTAAACTTTCCCAAACAAAAACGGTTCAAAATATTTCTTAAATTCATTTCTAAATGTATTCAACATAAATACTGAAATCTAGTTTAGAAATGTTTTAATGCCATACAATTTTAATTTGCTATTTTCATAAAAATAGCATTTCAAATCTAAATTCAAAAGAATAGCAATAATAGTTTCTTTACTGATGATTATAAAAACATTTCCAGCTGCAATAACTTATGAAAGACTTGCTCCATAGTTATGAAATTTTAACACACATTATTAACAAGATAGCAACATTAAATGTCTTCACAAAACCTATAAATTCAAAATCATTCAAATGCACTTTCTGTTTTTTAACAATAACTTAAATGTTTTCTCAAAACAGCGATATCAAAATAATTTTTAACAGAAATACTCGATGTAAAAAGTAAAGCCCTTAACACATTTATTGAATAAGGAGCAGAGGTAATTCGTTCAATGACGTCTGCTAAAGCATAAATGGAAACTTTAAAATCAAAAGTAAAGGAATAAATAGCGCAAGCACTTAAAAGCACATTTCTATTTACAATGCAATTGCTATCAGAACTACTATACACTGCATCTTTCAAAAGATGTAGAAATTAAGTGATTTTTTATGCCACGATCTCAAAAGAGTTTCTAACTTCTATCGATGCATTTGATTTGTGAATATTTCATTTACATAATGATGAATACATTAAGAAATCGTGATTTCGCTTTGAAGCCTTGGAACTCTGCATTTCAAATACACGCTTAGTAAGAGAAATTAAACTGCTGATGCATCAGTGAAAATTCTTGACTTTTGTTGATATATTTGAGGCAAAATTGTTAGTGAAGCGCGAATCTCCCCATAGGCTGTCTATAATGAAATTCTTCAGTAAAATACAAATTTTGTGTAAATATAAATAAAATATTTTTCAGATTTTAGTCATTTTGTAATGAATACTATTTTAAAAGGATTTGTAGAATATTATCTAATATAATTTAGATCTTTTCTGCTAATAGTACAAATAAATTATGGTCACACAGTTGTTAAGACTTAAAACGTTTCTAAAAACTAATGTCTTTTTCTGATGTACAATAACTTTTATATAGGACATCAAAAAAATATGAAATGGTTATGTTAGTACAACAGTTGTAGAATTATTTTCGCATATATTGTACATTATGTATGCAATTTTTACGTTAAAAACGTTGTATCAACCTATGTATGTATTTTTATATATTTTTGTATAAGTGAAAAATATTTCTTAAATTTTTTCTTCAAACATTTGAAATATTGTACTTATTGTTAATCGCACAAATTATGCCATTTCCTTCTGCATCTGTAAATTTGCTTCCGTCAGCATTGTACGAATTTTTTTTAATTTAAAAATTTCTTTGAAATGAGGTAAAATATGTTATTCTCTAGAACATGCATCCTATAGCAACTAGTTTTGATTCTGTTTAAAGCTGAAATTTGTTTTGAATATCACTGATTGTTCATCCAAATGACATTTACATACGAGGTGTGACGCAAAGAAAAAAAAAAAAAAAAAACTAGACTAAGTGCGTAGCTTGAAAACAGAGTTGGTAACAACTGCTTTGGTGACGTCATGCAACACATCTCCTCTTCGTGTGGCCAGTTCCGACTTAACCAACCACGCCAGTGGGAGTACTGCATCATTGAATGACACGTGCAACTGCATTCTGCGGAAAAAATGTCTAATGTAAAAACACATCAACATCACGTTTCTTATAAAACTTCAGAAATCAGCCACGGAGAAAACATTTCAAATGCTAACCGAGGCTTATAGAGATAAAACTTTGTCTCATGCACGTGTGTTTGAATGGCATAAGCGGTTTTCAGGGAGCGAAAGAAAATTTGTAAGAGGACGGGGCGTCCAGCACGTTCACCGGGATTAAATGGGTTCCCAGTGGTCAGACTGTTAAATAACACTAGTACAACATTACTACATTGAAGTACTAAAAAGACTTCGTGTAAAAATTAAGGAAAAAAAGGCCATAGTTGTGGAGTGATGGATGGCTGTTGCACCAGGACAATGCCCTGCTCACACGGCCCTACCTGTCAAGCAGTTTCTGGCCAGAAAAATCATTACTTTGATGGGGCATCCTCTTTATTCACCTGATTTGACTCCATGCGACTTTTTTTTTTATTTCCTAAAGTTAAATGTTACTTAAAGGGAACCCATTTTACCTCAGCTGAAGAGGTTCAGATAAAAACGGAGAATTTCCTGAAGTGCCTTCCAAAAACCTGGTTCCAGAATTACCAGCAATGGCAGCACGGAATGCAGAAGTGTGTAAAGGCTGAAGGGAACTACTTTGAACGTGATAATGTCTCGGGGAACTGATTCTGTAAGTGCAATTATTTATTGGTCCAGTCTCTTTTTTTGTGTGTGTATGTGTGTGTGTGTGTGTCACACCTTGCACCATTAAATCTTACTTTTATTGTGTATTATTTGTTTCTAAGTTTTTATATGTAAACTATCTTCTCTTAGATATATATGCGAGAAACAGCAAAACGTAATCTTAATACCGAAAAATAAAAATAAAATCATGCAACAGCCAAGTGAACTACATATATATTATTTTAACAGTTTCAGCTATCGGTGCGCATAGACTCATTAACTTGCTGTTAAATATGATCCTGAAGGGGGTAAAAAAGTCTGGAACTTCGAAGCATACACATAGGTCAGAGCTGAGCAGTTAACTGAGTTTTAAATATCTGAGAACAATATGCAGCAAGCATTCTTTAGACAATGAGAAAAGGATTTTGATACCTACATATGTCGCTTCAGCAGATTTGAGAGATGGATCCATTAGAAGGTAGCCGCTGGCAAGGAACCAAGCTTTAGAGGTGTAGTGAAACCAGGAACTACCAATTATGTTGACAGTAACAGAAGTTTTCCTTGTAGAATTCAGGTGTTACTAACACACCAACATATTTTCATTTAAAAAGTGAGAGTTATATTAAAACTGTATGAAGCATTTCAATATCTATGTATGTTCGTACTGTATAAAAAAGTATTAAGTTGATGTTGTGGCTGTTTCTCCTATGCTAGTA